ATACATTCCTTTTCTACACTTGTTACTAATGAAATTGAACAATAAACTATGCTTAAAATGAACACTTGAATGACATTTTCTTTTGTGTTCCTTAGGGTCAACTTGAATCAAACTCCACACGTAGTCACCCATCATAGCTTCATCTCGTCTCCCCTAATATCTCTTCTCCATAGTTTGTGTGTCCTGATGAAACCGTTCACCATGCTCTTCACTCACGTGTCCCAAGTTTGGTCTGAAGAAGTCCAAGTGTGAATGCAAGTAGTGTAACTTCAGTGACATTCTGCAGCCAAGTTCTCTATAACATACAATTAAATTTTCCACCAGGTCTTTGTAGTTCTCAGATTTGTGGTTGCCCAGAAACCCATGTACTATAAGCCGAAATGCTTGCCAGGCATTTTTTCAACAGTTGACATTTTGTCTTCCAAATCTTTAGATGCCATCATCTGCCTAATTTGTGGTCCAATGAAGATGCCACCTTTGACTTTGGCCTCAGACAATTTTGGGAACATTAAGTGGACATGTTTAAAGGTGTTACTTTCTGGGCTTAATGCTTTGATAAACTGCTTCACAAGCCCTAGCTTTATGTGAAGTGATGGCAGCAATATCTTCTCTCTTTGAATAAGAGCATTGTCACATAAATTGTGTGCACCAGGAGTAAATTCGCTTCTGACATGCCAATCTCTTCTGTCATAGTGTTTGTCATCTGCTCTACTATCCCATAGACAGAGAAAACAAGAATACTTGGTATAGCCACCTTGTAGTCCAAGCAGGAAACCTATCATCTTGAAGTCTCCACATACATCCCAATTGTTTCTTGTATTGTTGAGCATGTCCAACAAAATCTTTACATTTTCATAGTCTTTCATGTGAACTGAATGACCTACCGGAATTGATGGAAGTGTATTCCCATTGTGAAGCAACACAGTTTTAAGACTTTTTGTTGAGCTGTCAATAAACAGATGCCAATCAGAAGGGTTGTACTCAATGTCTATTTCGCCAAAAAGGCCATTGACATCAGAGCAGTAACACCGCTAATTGAGTTCCAAAACTTTGAATAAAGGTGTTAAAGTTAGATGCCTTTTCCTGTGTGTACGTATCTTGCAACTAGGATCTAGTAAATTCCACTCCTTGAGACAAGGTGTCAAAACCTCGTCAGTTTCCTTGGTAAGACCTACATCCCTGACTAAGTCATCCAGTTCGTGCTGATTAGGAAAATGTGGGGATTTGCTTGAGTGCTACATTAAAGTCAACATCCTCGCCCTCTTCAGAAGATGAGAAGTCCTCATTTGAAATCGCTGTGCTTTTTAACAAATACCCCAAAATTGCATTAAAATTGAGAAAAAGTGTGATAATGTTAATTTTTCAAAAAAATATTGACAGCCTGGCTAAACCAATGGCAGATTCATAATCAGCATGTCTAAATTAATAAAGAAACAGATCAAAATCAACATAAACAGTGGTACCTATTAAACCAGCAAACAAAGTGTTGATCATTTGTTGAAAAGTCAGTGGGGGCATTCTGGAGACTGAATGGCATCCGTAAAAATTCAAAATGGCCCAAAGGAGTACTAAAAACAGTAATCTCACGAGTTTTCTCGGAAGAGAAATTGCCAATATCCGCAAAGTAGATCAGGGTTGATAAACACAGCATTATCCTTGCCTAAAGATTGCAAAATATCACTCAGGACAGGCATTGGATACCTATCCCGGATAGTATTTACGTTGACGCACCGAAAATGAATGACTGGGCGCTAACCTCCATCCTTCTTAGGGACTAAAAACAGTGGGATATTGAAAGGAGACTTTAAATGTGTGATAAATTCCTGCTCTAACATATTTTGAACCATGTCTTGCACTACAGCACTCTGGCTATGAGGTAGTCTATAAGCTGGTATGTAAATTGGGTTTGTGTCCGGTTTTAAAGGTATGTAATGCAAAATAAAACTTGTCTGACCGAGCTGTTCCCCTGGTAAGGCTACAATATTTCTGTAGTCGGCAAGCAACTCTAGGAGCCTAGTCTTGCCTTGAGGGTGATCAATTACCTTAACATGTGGCTTTATTTGATCTATCCTCTCCTGTCTGGTTTGTGTAATTGAATGTGTAACATTACCAATTGGGAATTGAGTAAGCTGTAGGGCAACATTATTATGGTAAACTAGATAATCACACAGGTAACATCCCTCTTTCAATATTCTGGGAGCACCTGTTCTGTTGAGAATGAGGACTCCTGTTAAACCACCAGGACAAATCGTACTCAATGTAGATTCACATACAAGGCCTCATTCTGAAAATGGAGAGTATCTGTTAAGACTGCATGTACAACCATCCAACTTTTGTTGCTATAATCACCCTCGGTAAATAAGTCTGTGGGGTCTGGGACTCGCTTGGACTTGGTGTCCATCTTCCTTGTAGTAGGAGCGTTGGACAAAACATTCACCCTTGCGGAGAGCAATGGTACAGATTTGGCCATGGCACGATAGGTAACACCACTAACAGTGATAGTATGTTGGCTTGGCTGGACATCTATCATGTTGTGTTTAAGAGTTGGAGACCAATTAATCTGTCAGCTGGTAAGTTAAAGGACTTGACTCCATAAAACTGTAGAAAATGATTTACCACGTCTAGACAAACATAATGGTAGTGTCACCACTCCCGTAATGTCCAGCTGGGCACTGAAACTCCCGAGAGATTGGTGTCGGTATGTCTAATTTTAAAATCTCGGTGAGGGGATCGTCGTTGTAGTTCTTGATATGACGCTAATGAGAGTACATTTGCATATGCACCCGTATCTATATCTAGTGCAAGTTTGATTACATCATCCCTCGCCGGAACAGATAACACTTCCGCTTTGTTCAGCGCCACTATTAACGAGGCTGAAACAGAAGTGCTGCTGTGAGTTGGTACTGTTCTACCTATTCTACGTCTTTCTGGGAAAGGTGCTGATCTTCTCCGACTTCATATGATAGCGACGACGTGATGTCCGCTGCTGTGATACCTGGGGCATCTCATACTCTATATCCCGATATCGTTGGAAAACTTGACAGTCTTCGGAATTATGGGAGGCAGACTGGCGATACACACACAACATATCAGCTGTCAGTTCAGTATCAGACTTGGTCTGAGCAACTGCTGAATAAGATTTGGATGGGTCTTGTTGCAGTTGTGGATTGTGTTAGGGGGTATGTGGTGTTTGGGTTTGACACCACCTTGCTAGAGCTGGTAACGAAATTAAATTTTATTACCATTCATGTTGCAGTGTTTATATACTAAAAGTTTTTTTTTACTTTTGTTCCTGAGTTCTTGGGAACTCTTTGTTGAACCGGGGCCACAGGTGTTACCGTCCTGGCTAGGGGAGTACGAGGTGTCTTAATTGCGATCTTACTTGCGTAAGAAAGAATTGTATTCGCTTAAGTATATGCAGGGTCTCGAATCGTCAATAAAAAAGTAAGAAAGTCAATTAATTTTGCAAATTGTCTAGTGTCATCTCTCTCTCTCTCTCTAACCTGTGTTAAGGACATTTATTCATTTCTTGTTTTTATAATGCATGGCCAGTATGTAAAACTAGAATTGCTTTTTTGTTTTCTTTAATGTCCCCAAATGTACTCACCTGGGGGTGGGGAGGGGAGGGGGGTGATGGCCAAAGCCCAGGGGGTAATATCAGAATCACTGTCATTGTCCTCATCACTGTACATCTCAAATTCCTCAGTGCACCAGTTGGTATTATGGGTATAAGATCATAAAAAAAATGTATACACATACTGTATTTAATGACAAAATCCAGTACTGTAGTTACAGTACTTTCAAGTTTTGGCAAAGGCCTTTCCAGGTAATGGCACAGTATTATGTCTAGTGGGAAAAGGTGCCACACAGCTGAGTACCGGTGAGCTACAGTTGGTTTGAATATATTATTACTACAAATAAATCAACTTTCAGGTGCTTATTCTCCTTATATATAGCTAATAATGTATCATCAAAAATGGTGTTCTTTAGATTAAAATTTCTCTATTTGTCAGAAATGGTATGTACTGTATACGAAACTTATTATTTCACGTAACTTTAGGAGTAGAGAAAAACAGAATTCATAACATAGAGGTTACAATGTCCCTGTTACCATTGTACCATGAATGCTCATTAATTTGGCAATCAATCGTTCAGGATTCCACTACTTCGACAGGTTACTTTCAGGGCTACTAGTCAGCTAAAAAGGAATGAGAACCAGCACCTTGGAATAATGAGATCATCAAACTGGTCAAAACATCCAATCACAACACTACCTCTGCCTTCACTGTTGGTCGATTGAAAAACCGATGTACACTCGCAGGAAGTATCTGCAAGGTGGGGTCCGATGATTTTCAAAATTAACTCCGTGACTCCTGTTGTTTTGGTGGGGTTGTCATAATCCTGCGTCCGTTGTGTCATATTGTCTAGCCAAATATTTTGCAGATACTTTTTGTAGCAACTGTACAATATGCACAAGATAGGCATATATTTACACAAAGAGACAAGTACAGTACAACATGGAAGTACAGTACAAGAAACATTAATCACTCTTACCTAATTTGGAAACCTCCATAAGCACTCGAGGACCATCCTAGCCAGGAGAGAAAATCCACTTTTTTTATCGTATGAGTGATAACATTGAATATTAAGTACCCCCCCCCCCTCATTATTTAATTAATTATTATGGGGAAAATTTACCGTTATTAGGGATTTTAGTATTCTTGCCTATATTTTAGGAAGTAACCCCAACGAATAATAGGTATCCTGACTCACCAACACACCTTGTATGCAGCTACTTTACACCCATGCAAGCTAAAAATATGTTGTAAGAATAAATATAAATGAACTATTGTGTATAAATTGGGATTTTTAGGCTAATTTTGTCCATTCATTATTTTGGCAAGGCTAGGTCCTTAGTGTGTCAAGTTATTGAGGGTTTAATGTACCTGTATATGGAAAATGAAACTTTCTCAATACTGTATTAGTCATTTTTTTCACAGAGTAAAGGTGGAATCTTAGCAAAAGCCTGTGATTATATCTCGGAACTAAGAATCCACAATGAACAGCTGACTGAGAGAATGAAGGAAACTCAGCGACGAGAGATGGATTTTGAGTTGCTCAAACAAGAAGTTGAAGTGCTGAAAAATGAGAATGCTGCTTTGAAAAATGAAAATGCTCTTGTTCGTGCCCAAATGCAACAGCAAGGACTCCTCGGGGATTTGCCACCATAATTTTTTCGCCTTCATCATTGAACTTCATGGCCATAATCTCATTCTCTGGTTGATAAGCTGCGGTCATGGGAGGTTCTTTGCATATTGTGATATTCAGATAATAATGAAAGAATTTTTAGTTAAATTAAATTCATATGTTGGGCCTTGGTGTGTATAAAGGGCTTGGATTGGAAAATGTGATGGTGAAATTATATGGAATCCACTCAGCTGTTTCTTTCATGATGTTTCCGGATGATAACTGATTAATGACAACATTTCCTAGTGTTCAGGTAGTATTTATTATATAATTCCTTTCAGAACATATGCCTGGCAAGGAATACACCTCAGTAACCCTGAATTAGGAATAAATGATGTCATTTAATTTCATATAAAAAGGGCTAAGAAGGTTAATTGGAAATATCCATATAATGGAGTTTGGGTGTGGAAAAAATTAAATTTGAAAGGGCATAATGGTAAGTCATTTTATATATATATACTGTATCAGTAATTATAGAATGAATGTTAAAACTTCGTATCTCTTTGGTTGTTGTTCTTAAAAGTTTATTCTAGTAGAATTTGTTAGCCTTTGAATTTAAAAAGGCCTATATGATTTTTTTTAAATACTACCTAAAATTTTAAAGTCTGGATGATATTTCAAAGAATAAATAAGAAAAACAAAATTTAATCTTATTTATGAACTTGGATTATGAGAATCAGTACTTTAACTATACACAGAGTAAAATGTATATATACAGTACTGTACTTTTGAATTCTTCATACAATTGTGGGTCAATAAACACTGCCTATTTGCCAGAAAAAATTCATATTAATTAAACAGATTTATCCTTCATTCTTGCAAGTTCTTCCACACTATGGCAGAAGTTGCTCAGAATCAATAATAACATACTCTTCATTTTGTGACATCCATTCTTCCTTGCTGCCTTACCAGATGTTTTCTCCATGAAAATGATACTTGCTGACAGTTTTGTGTGAGTCAACAAGTTTAGACACCATGTTAATTAAATTGTTATATGCCAGTTATTGTGATATGCTGTTTGAAAGTCCAAAGTCTCTCTCTCTCTCTCTCTCTCCCTCCAATTGTTTTTCTTCACTTAAAAGGTAATCCTGTTAGGTACTGTATTACTGTATTTTCATTCAATGGTTTTGCTAACCTTAAAATCATCACTACCACTTCAGTCTTTTGTGCAAAGGATTGTCAGGTCTGATAAGTTCTAGTACTAGTTTATCATAGATCAGTAATACCAAATTATTTTAAAGTTTCTTATAAATATGGTACTGTACTGTACTTTACTTGGTGTGCCATTTTCTTTACCAAAGACTAAAACCTTGGTACATGTATACCTCACCCACACTAGTTATACCTCGGTTTTGTTTTTTGGTAAAGAAGGAGTTAGTGTTCTGATTGACCTGCTAAGTTTAAGAGCATCTGATGGAGACATGGCAGTGCATATTTCTATATAACAATGGGCTAATAAAAAACTTCATGATACTTAAAGTATTGTGAAGAAGGAATCAAGGATTCTTGCTGTAACTGCAAAGTTGTGAATAGTTACTGCTTTACAAGCAGTTGAATTTTTAATTGCAATTTATGTTCAGATATTTTCTTTTATAAGCCTACTACATCAGCTTAGTCATGGAAGACTAAAACCAGATGTGTGGAAAGAGTTGGAGGTACATGTACTGTACTACATGAAATGTGAGCCTGATAAGATATGTGACTCAGGTGGGGTCACTTCTTTTTATTCAACAGTTGTTATCAACGAGTCCAGCAGATTGAGGATCTCTTAATAAACATGATGATATGCAATTTTATTTTAATCCTTAAATACAAATTATGTTTTTCAAGATCACAGTTTGTTGGATTTTTTAACTTAAGGGATTAAAATTTTGTTGATCACGAGGTGAATCCTTTAAGTCAGTGTTTGTGATCACTAAATATATATTTATGAATAAACCTAACCTGTCTGTCTTACATATTTTCTTAGGTGTACATAGTGGACAAAATCTTAAAAATAACTTTTATTTACAAAATTAATTCGCATTGCTCTCCTTTACGATTGGCTCACATTCCTATAAAATAAATTAGTTGTATTTAAACCATAAAATGCATATATACGGGGATATATACATATATGGGGGTTAGCCCACCTAAGCACAGGTCACCGACCCACATCAAATTCTGGGGGATGAAAAAAATGTAATAAATTAAAACAAAAATAGATATAGAAATAAAAAAATAAAAAGATCAAGCATGAGAAACAATATGTATGTTGTGTTAAAGTAAGCGAAACAATTGAGACCCTGCAATTTTGTGTAAATGAGGCAGAAAGTAAGATCCGCAACCTGGGACTTGGTCACAATTTTTGTGATGCCATATGGCAGCAGGGTCTACCATATGACATTAGTAACAAAATTTCCTTAAAATTGTGGTATAATGTTTGTAAAATGAGGATTGACACCAGTACAGGCAGTCCCCGACTTACGATGGGGTTAGGGACCCAAATCCAGGTCGAAAATGCAAAAATAATACATAGAAAATCTAAAATGGGTTTCTCTTTTTCTTCTCAGGACCATAAAACTCTCACTTAAGCTTGCCAGTCATTTTAAAGGGAATTACAAACGAAAATTTTGTCAGTACACAGCACAATCACTAACGTCGGGATTCGAAAATACTTAATTTGAAAAAATTTTGGTACGACTGAGGCGGTCGTATGTTCGGGTGGTCATAAGTCGAGGAGTATCTGTACTCGTAAATAATAAATTTTTAATGAATCTTAAAGGGAAGAGTTAAAGAAGTGGAATGCATATGATACGAGTCAGAAATGGAAATGCTACAATCTTGAGACATCGCTTGGGTGTCTAGTTACAAGAATTTTGAGGGACTACGCCATTGAAAAAAGTAAGTATCCTGTACAGTATGTATGGTTCTAGACAGGTAAAACCTCATAGACAAAGTGAAATTGAGGAGCAATATTTAAAAGTTACTTAACAAATTCATGTAGTCTTTGAATTATACTTATTTTCACTATGTAAGCTGCTGAGGTTTGTTGCAGTTGTCCATTCTTAAGTATTTAAGGATATGAGATAAAAAGGTTATTGACATCTTTTATTCCCACATACAGGGTATAGTATTTCAATCATATGTTCCCTGCAAGTTCAAGCACTTCACATCCTTGCTGAAGAGTATTAGTACATGTGAATGTCTTGTATACTGCATTGTCCACTTGTTCCTATTTATCAAGATACTCATAACATCTCCCACTTTCCATTGTTCCCGAATAAATAACAATATCAAAAGAGATAACAGCAGCCAGTAGTGTGCACCACTAACAATTAGAATTATTATTCATAAACTCTAATACATGTTGCTGTTAATGTAAAAGACACATTCACACATCAAAAAATTGGAATTTATAATAATACTTGGTTAACCCACGTAAGCCTGGAAAGGAGGCGCAAAATGATGATAAGTTGCAGTACATATACTCTTAGGTATATGAAGTGAAATTCCACAAGAAACCTCAGGGGCATATCCAGGAATATCAATAGGGGGGCCCAAGAAATTGTGGGTGGGGGGACATGGCAAGCACAGCAAGCCCACCCAATTTTTTGGGGGGAGGGCTGGTGGGGAGGTCCTTTGCTTTTACTTTTATCCTCTTCACCACTGATCGGTTCGTTAGCCACTTGGGTGATCGGTCACGTCTCTGATTACTTTTCCTTTTCTTTTATCCTCTTCACCAAAAGATCGGCTCGTTAGCCGCTTGGGCAATCGGTCACGTCTCTGTCAAGCACTGTTGGCAAGTACTGGGCATGCACCGGCTCCTGAATGTACCTGAACCTGCTCCAGTGTTGGTCAAGTCTTGTCTTGAAAGGGCTCACACTCGGTGCCGTCACAACACTTTCTGGTAGATTGTTCCAAGAGTTCACAACTCTCACTACAAAGAAGTTTGCCCTCGCAGTTTTCTGGACTTGCGGCTTCTTCAATCTTGAGCTGTGACCCCTTGTGGGGCGAGCGTCCGTCAGCCCGAAGTAAGGACACTCGACTGAGTAGTGCCCCTTGAGATACTTATACACCTCAATTAGGTCACCCCTTGTCCATCCGTACTATAAGTTAGGCAAGTTCAGGCGCTCCAATTTCTCAGGGTAGCTGAGGTGCCGAAGTGCAGGCACCAGTCTGGTGGTCCTCCTTTGAACATTTTCAACCAACTGACAGTCCCTAGCATATCTCAGGGATCAGATGGGGTGACAGTACTCCAGATGGGGAAGCACTTCACTCTTGAAGATCGTTACGAGGGACAGACCATCTAGATATCTGAACGACCTTCTTATAAGACCCAATATTTTATTTGCCTGATTTACCTTCTTCTCGCTATGGCCCAAGAACTTCAGCTCATTGTCAACATACACACCCCTCTGAAGATGTGAATTACACAAAAGCGCTTGGGAACTTCGTGTTTTCTTGTTTCCTTGTGGTTATATATATATATATATATATATATATATATATATATATATATATATATATATATATATATATATATATATATATATATATATATATATATATATATATATATATATATATATATATATATATATATATATATATATATATATATATATATATATATATATATATATATATATATATATATATATATATATAGTATAACCCCGCTTTACACGGTCAATTGAACCCACGGAGGCCGGCGTGAAGCGGGAAACACGTAAATGGAACAACAGAACATATGGGATTAATTGAAATAGAGACTGGGCCGATCCCCAAACTCCACTTTTTCCCGGCACAATACGTACGTTTTAGTAAAAATAACATCTTAACTTTATGATGGTATGCACACACACATAATATAGAAGAGAAATATCAATAAGAGAATAATATACTGTACCAGGTAAAAGAAAACTCAAGGTTTAACACTTACGTCATGGTAGGTTAGGTTAGAAAAAATCAAGATTTAACACTTACGTAAGGTTAGGTTATGTTTTAAAAAATCAAGGTTTGACACTAACCTAAGGTTAGGTTATGTTAGGAAAAATCAAGGCTTAACACTTGCATAAGGTTAGGTTATGTTAGGAAAAATCAAGGTTAAGTTTAACACTTATGTCCGTAGAAGAGATGGGTCGGCTTACGGGAATGGAGGCTGGTTCCGAGGCAGAGGGCAGGCTACTGTCCCTCAGGTGAGTCACCATCACTGTCTCTGTCACTATCACTGGCTTGGGCTGGCTGTGGTGGGTTGCGGGCGAAGAACTCGGTAATGCTTTGTTGACGGCTAGTGTTGATGTCGTGATACACCTTGATGTAGGGCTCCATAGTCTGCAACAGCTGGGTAGTGAAGACTTCATACCGGTGATCGTCAGGGTCCTCGGAAAGGATGAGCTTCAGTTTCTCTACATACTCGATGGCACCCCTTACATTACCATGCGATAACTTGTGTTCTTCTCGGGATGACGCACCGCCTGTCTCTTCACTGACGTGATCGTCCTCTAACATCTCGTCGACAGTCACATCAGGATCCCTTATCACCTCCATAATGTCGTCGTTGGTGGTCTCGGAGAAGCCTGCAGCTGTAACACTGTGCAGCTTCTCTGGCAAGGTCCACTGCTACTGCAACAATCTGAACCTCACCAGTCACAGGTTGACTCTGCCTCCCACCTGGGATACCTTGCAACACATGTCTCCATGCGTGACGAACTGTTGCTACAGACAGCTGATCCCATGCCTCCACCAAGAAGTCCACAGCTTTCTTGACGTTAAATTTCCTCCAAAAGTGTTTCACAAGAACTTCTTGCACTGCCAACTGTTGGTCCTTATCGCTCTTGCTATTGGTGTCACCCAGGTTACGCAACTCATCCTTGGTGTTGGTATAGTCATTCAGGAACTTAAACTTCTTTGCAGAGAATGCAGCTTTCACATTGCAGATTAATTCTTGGTCCATGGGCTGGATTAATGACGTAGTGATGGGAGGAAGGAAGACCACTTTTACGTTGGGGTGACGATCCAACAGTAGGGGCGAGTGTCCAGGTGCATTGTCAAGCAGCAACAAAATCTTGAATGGAACATTCTGTTGCTCACAGAATTTCTTCACGTCGGGAACGAAACAGTCATCAAACCAGGAGAGGGACAGAGTAGAGAACATCCACGCCTTATGTGCGGTCAGCCAGTGGACATTTAGCTTGGTCATGTATATGTTCTTGTAGGCGTGTGGCTTGCGGGCTGTGTGGATCACCAATAACTTGAGTTTACAGGAACCAGAGGCATTGGTGGTAAAGAGGACGGTGATGCGCTCCTTCTGCAACTTCCGGCCCCGACACTTGCTGGCAGACTTGACGAAGGTCTTGGAAGGTAGCTTTATCCAAAACAGACCGGATTCGTCCATGTTGAACACCTGGTCGTCGGTGTACTGTCCTTCCTCCGTAATAAGGAGGAAAATCCCTAGCCGCAACACTCGCTTCTTCACCATCTTGTTCCTCGTTTTAAACCTGTGCAACCACCCAGAGGAAGCATTGAAGGGTTTGGGCTCTGCAATTCCCATCTTACGTGACACTGCTGCGTACAGTTCACGTGCGTACTCCTGAACTGAGCGCGTGTCGACCACCATGTTCCGTCTTGCCTGACGAATTAAGTAGCTCACAAGTAAATTCTCCGTCTTGAGAAGCACCTTGTTGTGGCAATACAGTACTTGATCATTGAAGCACCTGCAGACTTTGTGATGTTCATGTGTTCTTTTATCTTGGCTGCATCCTTCTTTATCGTCTGGATCGTAGATTCGTTCACACCATGCTGGTGCG